ATCCACAAAAAACAAAAAACGGTAGAGACTTCGAAAAACAGACCTGGCTGACCAAAAATCTATGGTTTCAAATGAATCTATGGCAGGCAACGAAGCCACTGAATGAATGCATCAATCTACATATAAAAACAAAGTCGATTTGGAGCAGGATGGTTGGATAGCCAACCATTCCTGGAAATATGGCGATTTGCAGAGGAACGATGGAGGTATACCAGTACCAGTAGTTACTGGAATAAAATATGCAAATTCTGGGAAACCAAGTAAAATAATGTTATGACTTTTTCTTGGTGGCTCTGGCAAACAAGGCTTCTTTCGTACTGCAGTCAAGGATTCGGTAAGTATTGCAAATTTCGTTGAGGAAATTTGCAAAATATATTTCAACATGATTAAGTGCCAATGAGGCACTTGGGTCTAAATGTCATATTTTCGTTTTGTTATCGTATTCACATTTTACAAATAGCCAGCCAGCCAGCTAGTCGGACTCCTTACATAGCCATTGAACGAATATATATGTGTATGTGTAGGTATGGTGAATGTTGAGTTTATTTATGACTTGAAGTTTGGTTTAAGCCGTTTCTGTTGTTGCTCCTTTTGAATGGCATGATAAATGGTGTTTTATGCTCAGCCATGGGACCATGCCATGGTGTACTCACACACACATACACACACACTCACACGCTTACCTTCATCAATGCTTTACATTTTTCTGGTATTTTGGTGGAATTTAACCTCCTTACTGTCCGGCCAAGGAATGCTAACTTTCTTGGGAGCCAACACGTACCAGTACTACCGCCACCTCAGCCACAACTTGGCTTAGTGTAGAATGTAGAAGACTCTATTATAAGTAAATAAAATTGTAAGTTGGAACAACAAACCAAAGAGCGAAGCAATGAACTATGCTAGCCAAGATGGCCAGGTAAATTATGGTCGATTAACGAAGTTCCCCAATTTCTTTGCTGTTGTTTGAGGTCGTGCTGTTCTTCTTGAAATTTACAGTAGTTAACTAACATTGTTATCTAAATGTGTTGGTATTTGACTTTTTCGTAGTCGTATTTCGTATTTGGATTACTGGTCATTGTTTAACTTTATGTTCAGGCTAGGTAAACTATGACCCACTCCATACCTCTTCCAAAATGGCACCTCCTCCCATTGCACTACAAGTAACATGTTCTTTGATGGTTTTTGGGTTTTCTTAATTCGAAATTGTTTACTTTGAAATCAGCAAAGATAACCACCCATCTCTACCTCCCTCATCACCCATTCCACCAACCAAGACAAATAATACTTTGCCTGAAAAATTTTCTTGACTTGCAGATAATTGGAACAAGAATTTGTTGTGATTAGTTGTTTTTTTTTTTTTTTTTTGCTTTTTTTTGGGAGGGGCAAAAAAGCAAAACTTTTATTTTCTGGTCCAACAGAAAATTCTCACAATGAACAGAAATTAGTAATCCAACCACATGAGTAATTCCAAAATCTGTGGTTAGTTTGTCAGTTTTATAATTACCGAATACCTTGAGAGGTCATATTTGTGGTTTTCTGGCCATTGTTTGTTTATGTAATTGCAAAAGTTTTGCTGGGTAAATTCTTGGATTCGGAATCAGAAACTTTTTGCTTATGTGGTAATAAATACGAAAGTAAAATACTAGGATCAAGAAGGCAACACATGTAGACAGAACAGCAGGGGTAAGGACCCTTTAACAGTCTTCTAGGGACTATAGACTCGTTGAAGCTGGTCTTCTAAAGATAACACTCTTTACAGGACGTTTGTTAAGAAAAGACAAACGAAACGCCTTTAGTGGGAAATATCCTAAATTGATGTGAGTCAATGCAAAGAGGAGACCCCATGGAGGTATTCCTGAATTGAAGACCCTTTGCCCTTTTTTATTCCGTCCAACATATATAGTATGGAGGTTATAATAAGTTCGTCATTCCATTTGTAACTCATCGAAATACTAAATTAAGACCCAACAAAGTACAGGGTTGCCCATATTCGACGGACCCATCTGGCAACGCCATAACTTTTGACAGAGATGTCGCATCGCTTAATGACATACCGCGTTTGAAGCGTCAGTCCAAGCAGATTTTTACCATGCCAATACACGCCACGCAAACGCTCCGAAATAGTTGAAATTTACATTCAACAGAAGAAGTCAATTCTGAAAACTCAACGTGCTTTTAAAACATTAAAATACGTGAGAAGTGCGCCTTCTAGGAACACCATTAAGCGGTTATAAGAACATTTTTCGACTGGTAAGGCTCTTTCTAAACCGAAGAGGCCATATAAAAGTCGACCAAGGCGATCGGCCGAGAATATCGCTGCCGTACGAGCCAGTGTTGAGAGGTCCCTAAGAACATCCCAAACACGCCGTTCTCAGCAGTTGGGCATGGCTCGGTCCACTTTACAATGGATTATTCGCATTGATTTGCATTTGTTCCCGTACAAAATTCAATTGACGCAAAGAATGTTGCCTGCGGACAAGCCTCGTCGATGGAATGGGCCCAAAGGGCCCAAAGGTCCGTCGAATATGGGCAACCCTGTAGACTCATTGAAGCTCTTTTTCTAAAGGGAACACTCTTTACAGGACGTTTGTTAAGAGAAGACCAAAAAAAAGGCCTTCAGTGGGAAATATCCTAAATTGATGAATGACAATGCAAAGAGGAGACCCCATAGAGGTATTCCTGGATTGAAGAACCTTCTGCCCTTTTTTATTCCGTCCAACGTACATAGTATGGAGGTTATAATAAGTTCGTCATTCCATTTGTAACTCATCGAAATACTAATTTTAGACCCAACAAAGTACATATATTCTTGATCAGTGTAAAATTCTTAGACGATTTAGCCCTGTCTGTCCGTCTGTTGTAATCACGCTACAGTTGAAACGAATTAAGGTAGGAAGCTAAAATTTTGCACAAATCTGTCTTTTGTCTGCAGGCAGGTCAAGTTCGAAGATGGGCTATATCGGTCCACGATGTCGTATAGCCTCCATATAACGGTATCTACCGATTTTCGGTATTTTGACGATTTTAGCCACATTTTTCAATATTGTCTGAAATTCTACGCAAGGAGTTCTTCGTCAGAACTTCACCCTCCGAAACAGAATTGTCTATATAGGACCACGATTTTTAATGGAATTGTCTTAAAACCTCGTTCTAAATAGGACCTCGTTTAGGTATAGCGCCCATATAACGGTATCCTTAGATATTCGGTATTATCATGTTTCAAATTTTGTGTATATGCAGGACCACGTCTTCGTATAGCCCCCATATGGTGGAGAGTATAAAAACTTCGGCCCGGCCGAACTTAGCTGTTTTGTTACTTGTTCTTTTGATAGAATAATCGTAATAGATCTACTGCTGTCTTAAATGAACAAGAAGGCCTTGAATGGGATTAAATTTTTACTAATCTCTTATTGAGAGAAGACCCTTTTAAAATCCGGAGGGAAGGCTAGGTAAAAACGTCTTAAGGATATCCATAAAGCTAAAATTTTTATACCCTACACCACAAGGTGGTCAGGGTATTATGTCTTTGTGCATTTGTTTGTAACAGGCAAAAGGAAACGAGATAGACCCATAGTTGCTTTTGATGATCTGCATAGAATCACATTCTGAGTCGATTTATGCATGTCCGTCCGTCCGTCTGTCCGTCTGTCCACGTATTTTTGTAAACAAAGTACAGTTCGCATTTATTGCCCTATCCAGATGAAATTTTGCACTCTTTTGCCGTAATATGCACTCTGTAACAACGATATTCGGGGAATATATCAAATACAGCTCAGAAATACCTTTGCTAAATTTTATCGAGATCGGTTCAGATTTGGATATAGCTCCCATATATAACTTCGTCCGATTTAGCTTTTATTGTGCACCAAACGTCTAATATTTGCCCAAATGGTATGAAATTTGGCACTTGCAACCGAATTGAGTCCAGAAGCTAGTATGTCAAATTTGGTGAAGATCGGTTCAGATATAGCTATAGCTCCCATATATATTGTTCATGCGATTTGTCATATTTGTTACCCACATCCGTAATATGCACTCCGTAACAATGATATTCAGGGAAATATATAAAATACAGCTCAGAAATATGTTTGCCAAATTTTATCGAAATCGGTTCCGATTTAAATATAGCTCCCATATATTTTTTTATCCGATTTCAAATTAATTGTGCACCAAATGGGCAATACAAGTCCGAATTTAAAAGATACAAGTGCTTCGGCATATTTTGTCCTTTCAACTTTAAATTATATTATAATCATGGCGTGTATGATTGAATTCTCCCATTAAGCAAAGAGGTGTAGGGTATCATAAAGTCGGTCCCGCACGACTTTAAGACTTTCTTTACTGTTTTTTTTTTAAATTGTTCAAGTTCCTGCCAAATGGTGGAGGTTATTAAAAATTCGGTCCGGCCGAACTTAGCTGTTTTGTAAATTGTTTTATTGATAGAATAACCTTAATAGACCTACCGCTGCTTTAAATGAACAAAAAGACCCTGTATGGGACTAAATTTTTATAGTCTCTTATGGAGAGAAGACCCCTTTAAAAATCCTGTGTTGAGCGAAGGCTCAGGATATCCTTAAAACTAAAATTTTTGGAGTCTAAAATGGAGAGGTGAGTTTTCAGGGGAAAAAGTTTGTTGTTTCTGCGGATATAATATTTCCCAAAGGTGTTTGATGTACAGAACTCCCCTATCACGTCTTCTTTGGAGATAACATCTATTACAGGTCTTCTCTGTAGAGAAATATTTTTATAGGACTTCCATGACTTAAGAATGGGGCCGGAAACTCATGTCTTGCGTATATTTTTTATTTCTTCTATTCGCTATCTTACAACGCTTCAATGACCGCTCTACGTCCCCCTCCCAACCACTAATAGAATTTTGTTTTCAAAAAAACCCCATAAATAATATGCCATATTACGTTTCGTTATTTTTTTGTGGTCCATTAAATCAGAAGTAATTGTTTTGTATCATGGCTAGGTGTGAAAAGGCGAACGGTACTTACTGTTCTTTTGGAAATCCTGAGATTCGTCGCCGGCCACACGAACACTTAATGCGATCAATAAAGAGCCAATCACCAGCAGATGTTCCATCATGGTGCTGTATAGGCTTTTTCTCAGATTTTTTGATTTGCTGCTGCTGTTTGAGCTGTTTCGATTCGAATACAACGATGGCAGGTGGTAGTCTTGACAATGTTGGTAACGCTGTTTCTGGTGTTGTTGTTTTTCTTGATGCTGATGCTGGTGATGGGGTTTTTGTTGGTGCTCTACAAGAGACTGCTTTTGAGGCCTTTGCTGGGGATACTGTTTCAAATTCAGATTTTCTGTTTGATATTGAGAATGTTGTTGCTGTTGGTTTTGTTGCTGTTGTTGTTGTTGATGCTGATTCTGATGATGACGATGATGCTGATGCTGATACTGTTGCTGATGGCGGCACATAACCAACAAGGATTCCACTGCTCGTGCTACTGTTGTTGTTTTTACTCCGGCTGTTGTTTGTTTGCATTTGGGCTGACATACTGTTGACTGAGCTGGAATCAATGCTGATGTTGTTGCGGTTGTTGTTGGTCCTGTAGCCGTTGTTGCTGTTGTTATTGGTAGTATTGGTATGCCTGGGCAACAGTCGTCCGTTGAATCCGCCGTGGCCGATATTGTTTTTTGGTTTTGTTTGTTCACAACAAGACTGAAGGCAGTTAAGCAATTCTGATTTACGTTTGTTATAAAAATGTGATTTTCGGCATGTGGACGTTGTGGGATTTTTTCTCTCAATTGCTGATAACTCTGCTGCTGCTGCTGCTGTGGCTGCTGATGCTGCAGGCGCTGATTTAGTTCTTGTCGCTGTTGATATTCCTCCAAAAACAATGCCGCCCCGTGTTCCACATGCTGAAGCTGGATGGGATGTTGCTTCGGCTTCTGTTTCACTATCCTTTGTTGATATTGACTTTTCTTCTGCTGCTGCTTCTGCTGTTGCTGCTGTTGGTCTGGCATTAATTTGATTTTGTTTATATTTGTATTTGTATAAAATTGCCAAGCTTCCATTTTTAATCGCCGTACAGTCAATACCATCAGAATACGTCATTTAGCAATGGGACACAACACAAATAGCTATGTTTGTGTGTGTGTGTGCGCGTGCCTCGGTGCATGAAAATTGTTCCTTCGTTTGACTTTCTTTCTGGGTCTTCGTGGATTTTCACAAAATAAAAATTATGAAAAGGTCGGAAAAAAAATAACAAAAAATTTTTCGGGATAGGATATAGGGTTTGTTCGTTGGTTTTATCGTTCGCCTGTTTTTTCTTTTCTTTTTTTTGGCCAGCTGATATGTTTCTTCTTCTTCTTTAGTATACGGTTTCTTCCATGAAATTCATTGCGGATCCAAATGGGAATTGTGTGACCACCTGAAAGTTTTATAAATGAAAATTTTTTATGAGTATGTAAAATCAAAGGAAAAAATATTTGACAGGAAAAACTTATTTTTAAAAGTTATAATTGTGTAAAACTTTTTTCCTTTTTGGAAACGCCTACTGTTGTTTCAAAAATATCAATACCATATTTCTGGCACTAAATGAATCATAGTCGCAGCTTTGTTAAAATTATTTTCATAACAGGCTCCCCGCCATACTGTTAAATTTTTAATAATATTTTTCAGGGTCTTTCAAGGCCACAATTGTAAATTTAAAAATAATTTTTTTAAAGACATCAAGAAAATTTATTTCAAAGATTCACAGAGGACTCTCGGTGCAACCATTCAAAGATTTTTTTACGAATATTTTTGTGTCTTCCAAGGACTCCTTTTTTCAAGGAATTTTACATAAACTAATTGTGGAACCACAGAACAAATAATTGTGGAGCGTTGAAGAGTTTGTTTTTGCTAGGACTCTCAGGGCAGCAAATCGTAGATTTTTTAAGAATATTTGTAAGGAGTCTCAGAATAAAAAATCAAGGCCAATCGTGAACTTTATTAGGAATATTTTTAAGAACGTTTAGAGCAACCATTAGTTTATTATTAAAGAATATTTTAAGGGCCCCCAATGATGGGTTGTATGCTCTAAATTAAATCTATACAAAGCAAATTTTTTCAAGGACTCTCCTAGCTTAACATCTTTCAAGATCTTATTAAGAATAATTACTTTTGAAGACTAATTCTTTCCATGGACTCAGAAAGAAACTTTTTGTGATTTATTAAGGTCATTTTAAAGGGCTCTCAGGACAAACAATCGTGGTCTTTCTTAAAAATATATTTTAGGACATTTAAACCAAGCCTTATTTAGTTTTAATGAATATTTTAAGAGCTCTCAATGGTGAGTTTTAAAGAATACTTTTATGCCTTCAAAGGACTCTATTGAAATAAGAATTTGCAAGGATACTCCAAGCAACATATCGTGGATTTTTTTGAGAAAAAGTCTTTCAAGGAACATCGAAATTTTTGTTTTCAGTTAATCATTTTTTTTTTTTCGAAAATATTTTCTAAAGGTTATCAATACAACAAGTCGTGGACTCTCCAAACAAAATATCGTGGATTTTTGAGAAAAAGTATTTCAAAGATGATCTTAATTTTTGTTTTCAGATTTACCTTTTTTTTTTTGAAAAATATTTTCGAAGGGTTCTCAGATCATCAATCGTGTTGTTCATGAATTTATTAAGAAAAATTTTTTTCAAAGATTCTCTCAGCAAAAAAATGGCTCGTGAGCTGAACATATCACTAATTTCCATTCGGCAAATATTGAAAAATGAGCTCGAGGTAAAGCCATTGAAATGCCAAAAAGTGCAAGAACTTACACCGCAATAGAAAGAAAATAGACTCAAAAGAGCTAAATAGTTGCTTCGCTTGGCCGAAAGTGGTGAACTGCCGAATTTGGTTTTTTTTCCGATGAGAAAACATTCGTTATCCAGCAGTTTGAAAACAAACAAACAAACAAAATGATCGTGTTCACTGGCCAAATGTGCACCATCAGTTGGCCACCAGAACTCAAGCGCCGGCCATGGTGATGGTGTGTGCCGCAATAACACCCGATGGTCCCTGTCATCAGAATAAATACCGAATATTATCGCGAAAATATTCTGGAGGGTGTATTAAAGCCTTGGGCACGCAAACATTTTGGCCGTAGACCTTGGACATTCCAACAGGATTGTTCCCAGGACAGCCCTCTGGACTCAGCACGCTCCACCCAAGAATGGTTACAAAATGAGGTTCCTAGCTTCATTTCCAGCGCATAAGGGCCACCAAAATCTCCGGATACCAATCCGTTAGACTATTGTGTCTGGAGTATTTTGGAAAGCTGTCGATCACCTGAAGCAAGCGCTTCGCCGGGAATGGGCCAAAACACCACAGGGCAACATTCGGGCAGCGTGCGACGGTATCATTGGCCGTTTTGGGGCCATAATTCGTGTCAAAGGTGATCAATTCGAACAAATCTAAACTTATTATAAAATTTGATGCTACCTCCGACATTTTTGCTGTTATTCAATAAAATTTAAAAATGTAAAAATTATGGTTTTTTATCTCACCCTGTACATATGTCTCAAATTTCATATTTAGAGTTCGTATTACGAGTTAATAAGAGTCTATGACGGAAAACAGTCTATGACGGAAAATTGTCTATGCAGGTCTAGAGATTTGAATACTGTGATGGCTTATGACAAAAGTTGCCTGTGCAAGTCCACGTCTTCCTATAGACCCCAATTTAACGGCTATATTCGGCTCTTTTTAGGATTTTTAGAGAATTTTTAATGGATTTGATTTATTTATTATTATCGTTATTTTGTTTCATTCCAAATGGTGAAGGGTATTCAAAGTTCGGCACGGCCGAACTTACTGCTTTTTTACTTGTTTTAAACTAGAGCTTTCATTAGAGAGCTATTTTCACAAAGGGCGATGAATATCGGCCCGCTCTTTCTAAATACTGTTTTTCTTTTGTTTCATATTTTATTTCTTGTTTATGGAAAAATGTTAAAACGAACTACTGCCATGTGATAAAATAATTTATATCTTTAGTGTCTCTTTTTATTTGTCGATAGTGTCTCTGATGTTTCATTTCAATTTTTATCACTCAATGTAGGTTATCTCTCACGCATGTGTCACATGCCATTTGATTTCTATGTAAGGTCATTTTTTTCGAATAGAACTATGTAAACCTATTACACACGCTCACATATGTGTGCGTGTGTACGTATACATAAATTTATTCCGAACTAATAAATTATGAATGCTAAAAAGGAAAACTTTCTTCTTTATGATGTCATCCTTTTGCCATTTACTTTGGCAGAGTGAGGGGGCTGGGGGCTTTCCCAATTTGCCATATCTTCACATTTATTGCAAAATAAAACTCTTTGCTAATAGATGTAAATAATGGATTGTTAAAAATGAAATCCTTTAAACTTTTTCCATTCACATTGTTTATTTCGGCAATGAAAAACGGCCAAAACAGAGAGGAAACTTTGAACTAACTTTGCTATCAAATTTACTACAGTTATTACTTTTGTTGCTGTTTGTTGCAAGAAAGATGGCCTATCAACATCCTGTATTGACATTTTTATGACTTTTGAGATGCTTTGCGAAAAAAAATATTCATCCCAACCCATCTAGGAATGGGAAAAAGCTCCCAATACAATATGATGTCTTTTTTGGCTGTTTGGGGGGGTAGAGAAGGTCATTACATAAATAAAACATAAAAACTTGGCCCCGTTTAAATATTGTGAACATGCATACATATGTCGTTAAGAGCCATTGACAAACAAATTGACTGTAAAATAAACGGGTGCTAGTTAATAACAATTTTTTTTTTGTTAAATTGAAAACAAAAAATGGTAGAATGACTGGGGCTATAAAAAAGGATTGAACATGTGGCGCCCAATAATACCATCATACCTGTGTTAAAGGTCAAAATAGAAAACTTATTCCAATGAGAAAAAAGGATAAGTGTAAGTCCAACAATAAAGTAATTTATTATTTAGAAAACTGGAATAATTAAAAAAAATCACGATCCAGGGCTAGAAAATTTACCAGCTAGACCCATGGAAAAATTTGAACTCACAGAGGTTTTTTTTAAATATCAATGTTGAAATACATGTCTTGTTTTGGAAGGGTTTAAAAACAACATGGATTTCCGAAAAACTTAATCGAGTTTGTACAAAGGGTGAAACTCACTTGAATTCGAGTGGAAGCAATCCTGGGAGCAGACAAATTGAGCAAACTCATTTTTTTTGATGGTGCTCGAATAGGAGTGAGCATGTTTCCCTCGTTTTTGAGTGGAAGCAAAATTCGTTTCAAAACTACTCTCGTTGAGCATTCTTTGAATTTTTCCTAATCTTATCAGGACTCTCAGCAAAACCAATTCTGGATTTTTTGAGGAACATAACGTCAGCCAATTACCTTTTGAGAATTATTTTTAAGAATTCTCACCGCAACTTCTTGTGCATTTTTTTAAAATCAATTTTATGGACCCTCCTGAACTTCTTAATTAATATTTTTAGGACTTTTAGGACAACTAATAATTTATTTTTTATGAACATTTTAGGCTCTTAAAGCAAAAAAAAAATGGATTCATAATAATGTTATTCATTAAAAAATTATAAGATCTCCCAAAAAATCCGATTGTGGATTTTTTTTAAGAATATGTCTTCCTGGGATCCTCAAGGAAATAAGTGAGTGCTTTAGAATATTTTTTATGCCTTCCAAGGACTCGTTAAAATATGTTTGAAATACTATTAGAGCTGTTAGCCGTGAATTTAGAGCATTCTTAAGATTGAGTTTTTGTTATACCGTTGTCGTATTTATATATAGGGTGAGATAAAAAAAAAAACTGCGACATAGTCAAACGCCATAATTTGTATGTATTTGTTTTAATTTTATTTAACGAAAGCAAACAATGTTGGAAAGAGCATCAAATTTCAGAATACGTTTAGATTTTTTCGAATTGGTCACCTTTGGCACGAATTATGGCGTTGAAACGGCCAATGAAACCGTCACACGCTGCCGAATATTGTTCTGCGGTATTTTGGTCCATTCCCGGCAAAGCGCTTGCTTGATTTGATCGACACTTTGGAATTTTTTAGTGCCAACCTTGCTTTGCAAAATACTCCAGACACAATAGTCCAACGGATTGGTATCCGGAGATTTTGGTGGCCATTGTGGGCTGGAAATGAAGCTAGGAACCTCATTTTATAACCATTTTTGTATGGAGCGTGCTGAGTCCAGGGGACTGTCCTAAGGACAGTCCTATTGGAATGTCCAAGGTCTGCTGCCAAAATGTTTGCGTGCTCAAGGCTTTAATACACCCTCCAGAATATTTTCGCTATAATATTCGGCATTTATTCTTATGGCATGGTTGATTAATACGAGCGGAGAGCGACTATCGGCTGATTTGGCGGCCCACACGATCACCATGGCCGGCGCTTG